TAAGCTGGTTACCAGACAATTTTAATAAATTTTAATTTTTTTTTCTCCAATTATTTTAAAAAGCACTTAGGATTTTCAATTTCAACCTCCTAAATGTACCAGCCAACTAGATCCAATTTGCTTCCAAAAACATATCGAAGTTTATGATCAAACTATCAAAGCATTTTTTCTACCAGAAAAGTTGAGCAGTTACAAACATTTTAAAATACCGCAAATAAACGTCTGAAATTATTAGACTGGACAAAATAAAAATAAAATTGTAACTAATTTTCAATCCCCCTCCCCCATTGAAAAATCCTGCTTACGCCACTGAGTGGGTTGATGTACGTGTTAACTGCTGCAGTTATGTTATATTTTATATTAGCAGAAGATAATATGATATTGTGTTTTTTATAATAATAAATAGCCAATGGCCAATAATAATATTATAGATAATCAATGATACACCGAGAAATCGGTAAACGGACGTTTCGCCCCCGCTGTTTCGTCCCCGTCAAAAAAACCAGTACACGGACGTTTCGTCCCCGGAAATTATTGAGATAGGACGTTTCGTCCCTGTGAGTTATTAGCCATAGGACGTTTGGTCCCCGGTATATTTCCCGTACAATATTATGATTGCAATTTCTTTTCCTTAAAACTAACTTTTTTTCGGTACATTTATTATTTCATATTGTTTTTGTACCAATGCAGTCGTTGCAGACGCATTGCACATCTGTATTTAATACTCTCTGTATCAAATACTCTTAAAATAAAGTAGGTAGTTAAATAAATAAATAATATTACATTGTTATAATTTTAAAGTAAAACTACGACGTCATGGTATTTTTATTTAACAAGAATAATTATAAGTGGAAACAAATTAAGAATTAAAAGAATAAAAAAAGTATTCAATAAAATAGTATTATTAATAGTATATTAGTAGTATGAAATAGTATGTTCTGAAGCATGATCCCTTGATCCCGAGATCCTTGATCCTTGATCCTTGATCCTTGATGTATGATTCCGAGATCCTTGATCCTTGATTCCGAGACTCTTGATCCTTGATTGCGTACGTGTGTGACGTATATTTACCCCTCCACCTGAACCCGTATCACGTGACCGAAACATATTTTGTATATTTACCCCACCTCCCCGCCCCCTCTGATCCGCCGCCGATGATTGCGTACGTGTGTGACGTATATTTACCCCTCCACCTGAACCCGTATCACGTGACCAATATATATATATTTTGTATATTTACCCCTATTTACCCCTCCACCGTAACCCGTATCACGTGACCGATACATATTAACCCCCCACCTCCCTTCCGATCCGTTATGTGAGCAACATATATTTAATATTATTATAAATATTATCAGTTATCAATACACATTTATCCTGTAGACTCTTAGGTATTATACTTAACAGCAACAACAAATTAAAATACCTATTAGTGAATAACATACAATGAAATCAAACTTCCCACGAAATGTTATCATGCCTGTTAATGAATAACACATTAATAATCAATCTATACTAAAAAATATCATAATCGCTTAACAACGACAAATACCTATTAGTGAATAATACACAATGAAATCAGAACCTTCCCACGAAATGTTATCATACCTTTAAAAAATCTCAAGACACTGTATCGGGCAATATAATTTTTTAAATAATTATAAATAATAACAAAATATTATCATGTATTTTGTACCTACCTATATCGCTTAACAACGACAAATTAAAATACCTATTAGTGAATAATACACGATGAACCAAACTTCCCACGAAATGTTATCATACCTTTAAAAAATCTCAAGACACTGTATCGGGCAATGATATAGAATCAGTCTGTTCTAGATATTTATACCTGTACGTACAACGTTTTATGTGTTACGCTCCGTGTTTTTAAAGTCTCCAAACAATTATTTTACCGTTTACATTTGTCTACTATTATTTTACATTTACCACTACGTGTTTTTTCACAGTGTTTAATTTTTAAACATTAAATTATATTTTTCGTTTTTTCCTTAAACAAACTCAATATGTTTAAATGCAATCAATGTTCATCGGTTTTCACAGCGAAACATAATTTGAAAATCCATCAAAAGAAACATGTAGGTCTGCGGTTCTCGTGTACCTTTTGTCCATCGACATTCTCTTATAAGACCGGTCTCAACAAACATAAAAAGAACTTTCATGGTATGTATTAATAAGATGTTATTTTTCTATTCATTCAATATTAATTTATATCTAATATATTTATTTTTCATAAGGTGTAGTTAACGTATCCGCTCATCAACCCGCTCAACCGATTGCTACACCGATTGTTAGAGAGAGCGTTATAAAGTACGCGCCACCAGCTATTCCACCTCAGGGGAGTATCCAGATTGCACCTCAAATTTTTGTTCCCGATACACCAGCTAGTGGTTCGAATACATCGACTGACATTTCTCTATCTGATGATGATATTTGTATGACAGCTATGGACGAATATGAAAATGAAGAAGTTCAAGACGCTAATACAGGTTAGTTTTATTTTATAGATGAAATATAATTTTTAAAGATTCGTATAAATCATAAGTTTAATTTTATTTATTTTAAAATATAAAGTTTCATTTTAAACTTATCAAGTGGTCTGTGAAACGATCAATGGTATAATAGTTGGAGTATTCCGGCATTGTATCGATCATTTCACTTGTCGCATCCTATTGGGGTAATAGTTGGAGTATTCTGGCATTGCACCGGTTGTCAGATCGTTTGATAGGTTTATTTATAATTTTTTAACACGATTCTTTAGATTTATTTTCAATAGATATTAATTAGGCTTTTTATTTTTTAAAGATTCTTATATAACTATTGGGGATAACGGTAAACGCATTTCAACCGCGAATACTGAATCAGCTGCTAAGGCGAAAAAGGTGCGGATGAATATCGTCAGGACCCTTGGGTTCGTAGAAATATCATCGTCTGCGAACCGAAAAATAGTTTGGTACTATGCTAGAAATATAGGGGGGGTAGTGAACTATATAGACTTTATTCACTCACTCGAGCCTGAACTAAATCAACTATTAAAAACGCGTGCTCAACAAGGAGCTATTAAGTTTAATCTTAAACTCGAGGCTACCTATAATCGCCCCAACGTAGTAAACTCGTCAGAGAACCGGGCGTTTAAAACATCGGCGGTCGAAATGTTTGCAGAAAGTAACATTAGTGACATTATAAAGAGAGCGTTTGTTAATTTGTTGAACGAGAAAAATGAGTACAGCGGGAGAGGCAGCGGTTTTACCATGGAGTCAATAGATGGACTTTTACTCAGTGTATATAAATATACGCCAATGAGTGGTTCGTCGTATATACAATTACCGAAGTTCATTGAATGGAAACGGGCTACCATAAATCCGCAGAATGTTGACCAACAGTGTTTTAAGTGGGCGATTCTCGCAAAACATGTAACGGGGGCGGGGATATTTCGTATTGGAGAAAATTATAAACAGTATGAGAGCATATATAATTTTAAAGGTATCACGTTCCCGACACCTATATCAGATATTCATAAATTCGAAGAAAACAACTCAAAAGTGTCTGTAAATGTTTACGGACTCGAAAAGAAGTTTCAACCACCGAAGAAATATCCGACTTATGAGGTATACCCATTACGTGTAGTCGATGAAGAAAAGGCTAACCATTTTGACCTGTTGTTGGTAAAGGATAAAGACAACTCTCATTATGTGTATATATCGAACTTTTCCCGTCTCATTCGCGCGCAGAAAACTAGACATACAGAGAGAGTTGTGTTCTGTAAGAGATGTTTTACGTCATTCGACAGTCGAAGTTTGAAATTCAAGTTAGGTGGTCAAGCAGGACTGGAGCAGCATAAGCTGATTTGTGGGGGACACAAACCGATACGGCCGGACATGCCAAAAGAGGGGGATTGCCTTGAATTCAAGTTATGGAAAAATACGGTTAGACACCCATTTGTTATATATGCGGATTTTGAATCTTTGTTGGAAAAAACTGATGAGAGTATGGGGAAAAACACGAAAATAATTCAAAAACATGAGGCGATGAGCTATGGATATTTGGTGAAGGCGAGTGCGAACGTACCGGTGGAACTTTTGGAGGAGTACGAGATACCGACAGGACCGGTATTATACAGAGGAGACAAGGACCGTAAGGACGTGGCGAGGCACTTTGTAGAAGCGATAGTTGAAGTGAGCCGAAAAATCGAAAATTTGATGAAGACGAATATACCTTTGACTATGACTAAAAACCAAGAAAAAACACATCAAGTGTGTACCGAGTGTAATCTGTGTAAATGTAGTTTAGCCGGAGGCGATAAAGTTATGGATCACGATCATCTGACGGGCAAATTTAGACAAACTTTGTGCTCGAAGTGTAACTTAGGGTTACAACAACCTAAATTTGTCCCCATATTTTTCCATAACTTATCTAACTACGACTCACACTTTATAATTACCGAACTTGGATATGATACCGAGTCTATATCAGTTATCCCGAACAGTGAGGAAAAATTTATATCGTTTTCAAAATATATTAGTAGTACCTTCACTGTTCGCTTTATCGATACATTCAGGTTCATGGCATCGAGTTTATCGTCTCTGGCTAAAAACTTAATAACACCAGGCCTTGAGAACTTCCGTGAGACAGCGAAACATTTTATCGTCGGAGATATGCCACTCGTAACGCGGAAGGGAGTATACCCGTATGAGTACACTGATAGTTGGAACAAGTTGAACGATAAGGTACTACCACGAAAGAGAGAATTTTATAGTACATTGACCGAGTCAGGAATTAAGGAGTCAGAATTTGAACACGCAAAGGAGGTCTGGGACCACTTTGGATGTAACACGTTGGGTGAGTATTCAGATTTATATTTGAAAATCGATGTGTTGCTGTTGGCGGATGTTTTTGAAAACTTCCGTGATCTATGTATGTCAACATACAATTTGGACGCAGCACACTACTTCACCGCACCCGGGTTAAGTTTTGACGCTATGTTGAAGTTTACAGGTCAAAAGTTAGCGTTGTTGTCTGATTACAATATGTTGTTAATGTTTGAGAATGGTTAGTATATCAATATTATTTAAAAAAATATATAATAATAATCTCTGTATATATATATTTTGTATAGGTATTCGTGGTGGATTGGTGCAGGCGTGTATGCGGCACGCGAAGGCGAACAATGTGAAGACACCGGGTTATGACAAGACTAAGGAGAAATCGTGGATTATATATCAGGATTGTAAGAATATATTTAATTTTTAATTTTTTCAAACTTTTTAATCTTTTTTATACTTTATAGGTAACAACTTGTACGGGTGGGCAATGTCAGAGTACATGCCGTACGGTGGGTTCAACTGGGTTGAACCCAGTTTAGATGGATTGAATGAGATGAAGGCGAAATCTGGTAAAGGACGAGTGTATGAGATAGATGTAACGTATCCACAACATTTGCATGATAAGCATAATGACCTCCCTTTCCTACCGCAAAATAGTATACCGCGTGGATCTAAAGTACAGAAACTGATGACAACGTTTGATAAGAAGAAAAATTACATCATTCATTATAGAAACCTACAGCAGGCTATAGAGAATGGTTTAATAGTTGAAAAGGTAAATATTTATATTTTATAAGATTTTTAACTATTTTTAACATTTTTTTTTTTTTTTTTTTTTATATATATATATAGGTACACAGAGTTTTAGAGTTCGATCAGTCGGATTGGTTGTCAAAATATATTAACCTGAATACAGAGATGAGGAAGAAGGCGAAAAATGAGTTTGAAAAAGATTTTTTTAAATTAATGAACAATGCAGTATTTGGTATGTTACTTTATTTATTTAATTTAATTATTTTACCAACAGTTTTTTTTAATTTTCTAGGGAAAACTATGCAATCGAAAAGGAAGGAAATGAAGATGGAGTTAGTGTCATGTGAGACACGATTACAAAAACTTATTAATAAAACGACATTTAAGCATGTGACTAGCTATAGTGAAAACCTGAACGCGGTCGCACTGGAAAACAAGATCATTACTTTTGACAAACCTATATATATTGGTAAATATACTTTAAATTTAAGTATTATACAATTATTATATTAACACATTTATTTTTATTTAGGATTTGCTGTACTTGATATTTCCAAGACGATGATGTACGATTATCATTATAATGTTATGAAGAAACATTATAATGATAATATCGAGCTTATGTATACTGATACTGGTAAATATATTAAAACTAACCTCTTGTATATATATATATATATAATATAATAATTAATATCATTATTACAGATTCATTGATATACCTTATTAAAACCGACGACTTCTATAAAGACTTACTTGACAACTCTAACTTGTTGAATAGAGTAGACACATCTGACTTGTCTTCTAGTCATCCGTGCTACACCACAGTGAGAAGGAAGGTCCCTGGGTTCTTCTCCGATGAAGTTAACGGGCATATAATTACAGAGTTCTGCGGGTTAAGGGCTAAATCATATGCGTATAACATATATGCAGGAGAAGAGGATGCGGTGAGAGATAAGGATAAAGTTGGTGGTGAAAAGATCAAGGCTAAGGGGATAAGGCAACATGTGGTTAAAAACCATATGACGTTGGAGGAACATAAAAGGTGTTTGTTTGGAGAAGCTGGAGTGGAGGCATATCAAGAAAACGTATCAATCAGATCGTTCAAACACCAAATTATGACTATAAAAACGAAAAAGTTAACATACAACAATTACGATGATAAGCGAGTGGTATTGGTCGATAAAATCCATACCTTAGCTCATGGACATTACAGTATAGAGTAAGTTATTAAAACTGTCTACTTTTCAAATTATTTTACTTTTAATTTTTATAGGGAATATGAACCTGGAGAAACTATGGAGTGGTCAGAACTTGATTTTGAGGTTGATGGCGAAGGACGTAAATGGTCAGATTTTGATAAAAGTTTTATGATAGAGTTTCTTAAGTACAATACTAAATAATCCTACCAGTTATTTTTAAAATATTATATATATATATTCAATTTGTAAACAGCACTGTAGAAATTATTAAGAATAATTAATGAGAAAGCCATATAAGTACCTATATATATATATATATATATATATATATATTTATATTTGTTTATTGTGCACTTTTTTTTTTTTTTTTCTGTATAAATGTTTCAGATAGGAATCGTTGTGTTTAATTGAAATATAAAAAAGCAATGTTATCGTATAATATTATTATGTTTATTACGAATTATTTATATACCATTTTCTTATAGCAAATACTTTATAGAATGTACATTGTTTTGGATTAAATTCCATATGGAAAATACAGCAAGGTAGAGTTTCTTCATCACATATTTGATCTAAACGTGGACATCCAAGGTCTTCAATGTTGATGAGTGCGATGTGAGGTATAAACTCCATAAGAAGTTGCTTTTTCTGTTCGCCTTTGACATAAATACAGGTGAACTTTATTGAATTCAATATTCTACTTAGTTCTTCATACTCGACATCACCATATTCTATAGATAGTTTATGAAAGTTACGTTCTAACCACTTATTAGTTCTTCGACTCTTGTTGTCCTGCATAGAATTCGAATTTTTGAAAATCCAGTGTTGAGTTGACCATGTTTCAGTGTCGACTATGGACATTTCTTTAATAAAATATTTATTGTTTGCTCCAAGAACGCATTGAATGTCTATGATAGCCGACGACATTATGTTTTGTTTTTATAACAAGTTTCTTCGACAGTATTGATACGATTTATTAAACCAGCAAATACTTTTTTCAACCCGTCAGTATTTTCTCTAATATTATTTAATGAAGCTTCAATTTTACTCATACGTTCCACTATATCTAAGCACGTTAATTGTAGCGTTTCTGTTTGTTCTTCCTGTACATGAATGGATTTGTAATTTTCTTCAAGTAGATGCTCGAATTTATCAAATTTATATGTATAAGTTTTGAAAGACTGTTCGATATTTGTAATAATGTTTTTAGTATCACCAGCTTGTGAACTACCAAACACGTTCATAGCTAAAGTATGACTGACACTATTTTTTAACATCACGCGTATTTATCCAACTATTATGTGTATTATCAAATCCTAACCACTTAACATACATTTGTTTCCCCTTCCGGCGTATAATTTTTTCAATCAAATATTCATTGGGGAAATTAGTTTTGTATACTTCTTCAGAGTAAAAACAACCAGCTATAGGTTTACCCATATAATCCTGTAATTGATAAGTAACGGGTAATGTTTTATTTATTTTGATAATCTCAAATATTTCTGTGGACCAGTTTGGTAAATAACTTTTTGTAAATATGGCTTTTTGTGTGGATATTCGAACATTATCACCGACTTTGAATTTAATTTTTACATCATTAATATGACGTTTTTTTATTATCACCGAAGCGGGGTTGGAATCTGCTTGTATTGGTGTCATTCCTATAGTTCTATGGTATGAATTATTGTAATCGTCAAGTAACTTTGGTAAAATTGAAACCCATTCGTGTGACCCTCTCGCAGTGAACTCCTTATACATTTTCCCCTTCAAAGTACGATTGAACCTCTCTGCTATGCTGGCCTTTAGAATACTGAAAGTTGAATATTTGTGTATGCCATACTTAGTCATCAGAGCGTTGAAAATGGTGTTATAAAATTCTTTTCCGTTATCGACTTGTAAAAGTTTTGGTGAACGATCAAGTAATATTGTAGCCATGGCGTTAGTAACTTCTTTACCCGATTTACACTTTAATGGTATCGCCCAGGAGAATTTCGTAAATGCATCAATCACAACCAAAATGTATTTGTATCCACCATTTATTTTTGAATATGGTATCATTTCAACCAAGTCAGCCTGAAATAAATCATTTTTTCCATAGACGTTAACTCTACGCCTTGGGAAATTTTTCCTCGCTGGTTTGTGAAGTTCGTTAGCGATTTCCCGTTTAGACATCTGGAACTCGCTTAATTAGTCCGGCCTCGTGTAATTCATCGAAAATCGATATTATTTCGTTTGAGACACCTGTATTGCCGGCTGATATTGACGCAAGAAGTAAACGTAATCGATCGACCAACTCGTTTGGATTATCCCAATACACTAAGTTATTTTTCTGTATTTTCATGGACAGCTCGCCACCCGAGGGAAATAATTTACTGATAACTGTTAAATATTTAGAGCTACCCTTTTTTATTTTTTTTCCGTCTGTAGTTAAATGTACCGATGTTTGAATTAATATAGATTTATATACCTCTAAATCGTTAACAGTATAAATAAGTGGATTTTTCAAAAATAATAACTGATTAAGACCCGATGTTGATGGATAAACAGTATCATCAATAAGTATAGTGTTTTCAATGAATTTTACTTCTTTATCGCCCAAGATAATATAACCGTTTGGAAGTTTTTTCGGACCATAGATTTTATCCAAGTCTGTAGACTGAAGCCAATTTTCAATTTCTTGTTGATAGTCGTCAGCAAATGAGTTTGTCGAATTGACGTTAATATTTTTTTTGATCAACGACAATCGGGGTTTATTTGATATTTTAGTTAAAGGGTCGATAATTGGTTTTAATGTCTGTGTCATTAATTGTTGAACATTATCCGACCCGGTTTTTAATGCTATATATTTACGTTTGATACTTTCTTTAGCTTTAACTAACTCATCTAAAACAGTAGTTGATTCCGTCATGACTATGTTTTAAATGAAACATTTTTATTATTTGTAGCGTCTTATATAACTACATAAGTATCAAATCCAAAACGATAACGACCGTTATCACGATCACTATCTTTACAAATAACAACAAATGTAAACCTCTCACGGTTCCAACATGTAACACAAAAATGTTTAAATTGCGTATATGTCATATCTCCCGAACAGTGTTCATTGTATACATGTTTTAAATTGGTTTCATCTTGTTTGAACAATACTATTAAATTTGCATTGTCACGTATCAACTGTTTAGGTACTTTAGAATAACTCTGAGCCAGATAAAATATATCTATTTTATTATGACGACCTCGAGAGAAATATTCTCTTATTACTTGTTGTTGTTCTCCAATAACATCATCCAAGATAAAAATTGAATTTGATAAGACTTTTTCTGGTGGAATTACTTTATCATTCTCGAAAAAAGTAAAAATGTTGATACCGTCAATACTATCAATAATACGTTTTAGTAGCTTATATTTTGGTTGTTCAAGCGTTTTAGAGTATATATAAACGTTTTCAAATCGTAAACCATTTTCATCGACTAGTAGAAAATATATAAGATTGGTTTTACCACACCCCGAGCTCCCTAGTACTAACGACCTTATCGTATTTGGGAAAAGCTCGCCGTGTCTCAACTGTATAGTATCAGGGGTATCAATGTTATAAATTCGAAGTTTTTTCACTTGCTCGATAAAGCGCATTTTTAAAAAAGAAAAATTTTCACTATAAATACAGATGCTATGTTAGCGAGAGCGTCACACGATGTCTCACGTTCGTAAGCGGAACAACAATAAAGGCTCCGGTCTTGTTAACTCTGTTATAAATCATTTACCCGTGGAATTGCATTTACCAGGCTATAGGTAAGTCACTGTACTATATGATTATTATTAAATCCTAACTAAATTATATATTTGTTATAGATTTGCTGGCCCTGGAACCAAATTGAAAGAAAGATTAGCACGTGGAGAACGTGGTATAAACAGTCTTGACGAGCTGGCCAGAGCGCACGATATTGCATACGAAAAAAGTAATTCACTAACTGATCGGCATAGAGCAGACGAAGTATTAGAAAATCAGGCTTGGGAAGTGTTTAAATCCAAAAACACAGGTATCAAGGAAAAAGCAGCGTCTTGGCTAGTTACTACAGCCATGAAGGTCAAACGTAAGATTGGAGCTGGTTGCGGATTTAAACAAATGGTTTTGGCTGCTAAAAATTCCATCAAAAATAAAATGAACGAAAATAATATAACAAAATTAGTAAGAACATGTCTGTCAGCTGCGAAAAAAAAAAAAAAAAATCTAAAAAATCTAAAAATATGAATACTAAAACTCCAAGAATTATACCAATACCAAAAAAGGGCGGTGTTTTACCTTTAATACCTATTTTCGCTGGTTTATATGCATTAGGTGCACTTACCGGAGGTGTTGGTAATATAGTAAAAGTCGTGAAAGAATTAAATTCTGGTAAAAACACTCCTATTCATTTAGGTAAAGGTTTATATCTAGCACCTCACAAGGGGAGTTCTTATAAAATCGTAAAAGGTAAAGGTTTATATCTAGCACCATACAAGGGCGGAGCAATTATTAAGAAATCTAGAAAATCTTCAAAAAACTAATTACCACGTTACCCGATAGAGCATTGTACGATTATGAGATTATAAAATACGGTGACATGTTGAAAATACCTCATTTCATTGGTGTATTTCCTAGAGACAGGTTGCCAAAACGTTCGAAAAATCAAGAGTCGGCAGTAGTGAATTTAGACACTGAAATCGGTACAGGTACTCATTGGGTAGCGTATAAGAAAATCGGAAAACAAGTTAAATATTTTGACAGCTACGGGAACATACCCCCTCCACTAGAATTACAGAAATATTTTAACGGATGCAGTATTGAATATAATATTACGAACGATATCAAAAATATAATACAATAAACTGCGGGCACTTGTGTTTAAAATTTTTATCATGTATACTATAACTTTAACCGGTAACTCAAGCGAATTATCATGTGACTTTTTCCCACCTATAGAAGTCAGTAAAAATGCAAAAATTGGACTGTTAGGTTTTCAAACGAATAATTCTATACCTAATGTAAACGACAAGTGCGATAAACTAGGTTTCGTATATAATAATATCGATAGACGTGTAAACACTAGTTACACAATACCTACAGGCTCTTACGAGTTGAAAGAAATTGAGGCGGCAATAAAACGTTTATTACCCAAGTCAGATATTTTATTCGTGTTGAGAGCAGATAATAATACATTAAAATGTTCAATGTTTTGTAGTGAAACTGTAGATTTTTCAATGTCTAATAGTATTGGTCAGTTGTTGGGGTTTAAAAATCGTAAATATGATGCTAATGTCAATCACGAATCAGATACGTTGGTTAATATTACCAAAACAAACTGTATATATATCGATTCAAACCTGGTTATGGGTTCATTCGTCAACGGTAAGCAGTGTCATACAATACATGAGTTCTATCCGAATGTACCTCCAGGGTATAAAATAATAGAGGTACCAACACATTTGGTATTTTACACACTTAATTCTACATCTATAACGCACGCAAGTATAATTTTGAAAAATCAAGACGACGAGTTGATCGATCTACGAGGCGAGCCAGTATCGATACGATTATTAATTCAAGACCTGTGATAAACAATGGGGCTGCAATTTTATAATATAAATAGGACTGTATATGTAAAACCTGTCAGTCGTATTCAAAACCTTAATAAGGTAACAACTCCGAAGAAAAAATATTCCAGACATCAACAAGTTGGACATAGTCTAACGGCAGACAATTTGGCTTTTCTACGTTCGTTAAACGCACTTTAATATGGACGATATGTATTTAGATGTTACGGCTGGATACACAGACGATTGTAAAATAACTCAAATTGAATATCATTCTTTTTTACCTTATTCAACGTCTGCTCTTTCTAATAACGACGAGGTCCGTATTGCTTTACATAATACAGAGTCTTATACTTTACCATGCGAGAGTTATATTTACATCGAGGGAACAATAACCAAACCTCCAGAAATAACTGATGAGATTAGATTTATAAACAACGGGCTGTCATTTCTTTTCTCTGAAATGAAGTATGAAATAAACGGCACTCAAATTCAAAAACTTGTTAACCCAGGCATATCGACTACATTAAAAGGATTTTGTTCGTATAACAAAACCAATATTTCTTCACATCAGAACTCTGCGTGGGATAGCGATATTAAAAATGCCAATAAAGATTTTATTGATGTCAATAACTTTAACGGATGTATTAATCTTAAACATTTGTTCGGTTTTTGCGAGGATTATAAACGTATTTTAATAAATTGCAACCAACAACTTATATTAAATAGAGCCTCAATCGATATAAATGCTGTTAAACAGTTTAAAAATAACGAAGTTGTCACAGATGCACCTAAACTAAAAGACGTTAAAATACACATAACTAAAATATTGTGGAGAATGCCAATAGTGAAAGTTAGTGATAGGGAAAAAATTAGATTGTTGAAAGTAGTCAACAATCAGAAACCTCTAACTTGCGCATTTAGATCATGGGAAATGTGTGAATATCCATTTTTACCTCAAAACACTTCGCATTCATGGAAAGTAAAGACATCCAACAAATTAGAAAGACCTCGATATGTTATAATCGGATTTCAAACAGATAGAAAAAATAGCTCTAATAAAGCAATGTCATATTTCGATCATTGTAAAATTAAAAACGTAAAGGTCTATTTAAACTCTGAAGTATACCCTTATGAAGATTTTCAAAGCGATTTTACTAAGAACAAGACGGCTACCTTATATCGCGCATATGCCGAGTTCCAGAAATCATACTATGGTTATAATGAAGTGACACCTCTGTTGAACCGTTCAGAATTCAAACATTTTTTTCCAATTATTGTTGTCGATATGAGTCGGCAGAACGATAACTTGAAAATGTCAACCGTAGACCTCAGAATTGAACTTGAAGCTGATGAAGCGTTCCCGTTGGCTACTTCAGCATATTGTTTAATATTACATGACCAAATTATTTCTTATAATCCATTTAATGGAGAAGTAAGAACCTTGTAAATATTTAATGTAAACCTTATTATTTATAAATTATAATATTTTTATTTTATTTTTATTTTGCTTAATATTAACCTTTTAAATATTTATTGTAAACCTAGCTTTAATAAATGAAAATATTTTTATTTTATTTTATTTTTAACGTCATATTGCTTAATATTATATATAATCCATTTAATGGAGAAGTAAGAACCTTGTGAATGTTTATTGTAAACCTTAATATTAATAAACGAAAATACAAATTTTATATATACCATTTTTATTTATTTCACATACATTTTTTTATTTTCTATAATTATTTAATAACCTTACGTTTTACTCCGTGTAATGGTGTGAGGTGTTGAGCGCCCCGTTTACTTGATATATCTGCAGAGGGCTTGTCAAAAAAAGATGGCGACGGTGGTGGTGATTGAATCGAGAACGACGTTGGACTATCATTCTCATCAACTACTAAAGCTCGTTGACGTAGGTATAGATCTGGCTTGTGATACCACGGAGGGTACTGCGCCAAATTGTCAGAATCATATCCATCGTTCTCATCGATGGACTAAACAAAATTAATAATTTATATTATATGAGATGAACGCGTATAACGTATGTTAATAGATAACATAAATAATGTTTCAGTTAGACTAGTGTGTTGTAGGTTGTTTATATTATGAATAATATATGGCTCTACTATATAAATCAATATTGTTTTTATTTAAAGAAAAATATTATATAAATTACCTTAGCTAGAATAGTTGTAGTGGCAACTTCCTGTTTACTTGATATAATGTTGGCTGGAGAATAGTTTGGTGATATTGGTGAATACCCGTCCTGCAAGTAAAATAAAAAAAAAAAACTTGTTTAAATATATGTTTGTACATAATATTATATTTATGAATTACCTCAACTAAATCATTCTCCAACGGATTAATTTCATCACATGCATCGATTTCTTGATACAATTTAGATATTCCTTCCTCTACAATCGAATAGTTAGGTGAGAAATATGACAGCGTTTTGAAATTCTTACCATATGCCTAAAATAAAAATAAATGTAATTTAATATTTTATATACGTAATAATATTATATTTTTAAATTACCACTTTTGAGTCTTGTACTTTCCGATGAGCCATACAAAGTTCGGCCAATTGTGTAGTCGCAAACATTTTAATTTGACCGAGGTTAGGTGTCTTTTTACTCTGCCTGACTTCAACGTTCCGAATGAAAATTTCCATTTCCCTCAAATTGTTGGGTGGTGAATCCGATTGCAAGCATTTTTCCCTCAAATACTCGCAATAATCACTAATTTGCTTAATAATTTCGGGTTTTATTTTTTCTTCTTTTTCTTTAATACTAGCAGTAATACACCATTCTAATTCTTGGAGTTTTATTAAATCTATACGATTTAATAAAACTCTACATCCGTCTTCAGTCTTAGATTCAATTACTAGAACGTTTGAACCGCTATACACCATACTCGATATTTTATAAGAATCAGTTTCGAGAAATATGGTTCGCTTGTAGTTTTGCGGCGTGTCTAATATAAAAGATAGTACGTTACCCATAAGCGAGAATATCCGTCTTAGAAAATCTATACTAATTTTCACATAACGTGACGATGTTAATAAAATAACAACTGTTTGAAGTTGTTCTGTTGGATCGATACCGACAATTATAAATTTTCTAGCTGTAAAGTCTAACGTGTAGGATGTAGACTCGATGAGTTCAGCCGGAGGTGATGGCGGTACATAAGTGAAAGCCTTCTTCTTCTCATTGTATAAGGTAGCGTTGTCAGCGATTGAACCAGCCATGTTTTTAAAAATGTTTTTAAAAATAATGAACACTTCAAATTTATAAAGACTTAGAAAAATTTAGAACACTTTAAATTTAAAAAGACTTAGAAAAATAATAAACACTGTAGAATAATATAATATTATGACTTGAAAAAATTATAAGCTCAGAACAAATTATAAGACTGATAGAAACGTAGAGGAGAATTACAATTGTGTAAGACTGAGAACAGACTGAATGAATGTCAGCTCTTACAGAGGCAAGATGGGTGTGGATGGGTCCATTAATTGGTAGGAGATACAATATCAAGCTATCTAAGAGTCTAACGTGTAAGCGATTATGATATTTTTTAGTATAGATTGATTATTAATGTGTTATTCATTAACGGGTATGATAACATTTCGTGGGAAGTTTGATTTCATTGTGTATTATCCAGTAATATGTATTTTAATTTGTTGTTGTTGTTAAGCGATTATGATATTTTTTAGTATAGATTGATTATTAATGTGTTATTCATTAACAGGTATGATAACATTTCGTGGGAAGTTAGATTTCATTGTGTGTTATTCACTAATAGGTATTTTAATTTGTCGTTGTTAAGCGATTATGATATTTTTTAGTATAGATTGATTATTAATGTGTTATTCATTAACAGGCATGATAACATTTCGTGGGAAGTTTGATTTCATTGTATGTTATTCACTAATAGGTATTTTAATTTGTTGTTGCTGTTAAGTATAATACCTAAGAGTCTACAGGATAAATGTGTATTGATAACTGATAATATTTATAATAATATTAAATATATGTTGCTCACATAACGGATCGGAAGGTGGTGGGGAGGTGGGGGGTTAATATGTATCGGTCACGTGATACGGGTTCAGGTGGAGGGGTAAATAGGGGTAAATATACAAAATATATATATATTGGTCACGTGATACGGGTTCAGGTGGAGGGGTAAATATACGTCACACACGTACGCAATCATCGGCGGCGGATCAGAGGGGGCGGGGAGGTGGGGTAAATATACAAAATATATATGTATCGGTCACGTGATACGGGTTCAGGTGGAGGGGTAAATATACGTCACACACGTACGCAATCAAGGATCAAGAGTCTCGGAATCATACATCAAGGATCAAGAGTCTCAGAATCATACATCAAGGATCAAGAGTCTCAGAATCATACATCAAGGATCAAGGATCAAGGATCAAGGATCTCGGGATCAAGGGATCATGCTTCAGAACATACATTTTCATACTACTTATATTCAATACGGAAAAAAGTATTTGAATACTTTTACTCAAATACTTTACAACACTGTATATTAGACATTACAGAATTGTTCATTAAAAATAAATGTAGTAAATGTAAGTAAAATAATGAACTTTGAAGTAATAATTAATAACCTGAGAACTGAATGTCCTATACCTAATGAAAATATGCCGGAGACCAAACGTCATATGGCTAATAACTCTCCGGGACGAAATGTCCTATATCAATAATTGCCGGGGACGAAACGTCCGTGGACTGGCTTTTTTGACGGGAACGAAACGGCGGGGGCGAACCGTCCGTGATTCCCAGAAATCGTATCATACGTTCAGCGCTCCGATTTTGTTATTTTCATTTGGACGATATAGGTACCTAGGACACGTGTGCATACTGCATACTGCATAGTGCATCCATACATAATAGCAACAGCAATATAAATAATTATTGTAATAACAATGAATATAAAACCAACGATAGTAATAATATTATAACCGAATGAAAATCCGACCGGTATAGGTTAGGTCATATACACTATATAGGTATAATATGACGTTATACTATACGTGTATATTATTACTGTCGGGACATGCATAATATTATTATTACGCTCGTAGGCATCTATAATATAATATAATAAAATATAATAATATAAACTACTTTATAAAGCCTAACCCTACGAATTATATGTTGACGGGTCGGCCTGCAGCTGCAGATGCGCAGTGCATGATGTATACGTGTATAGACATAATATATACAGAGGCATATAATATATAAATTACTGTTGTTTTAATAATAGGATAAACCCCAAGAGTAGAGAAAATAGAAGTAGGTACAAAAAACTAATAACGACCAAGACTGGTTTGGTTAATGGTAAATTTACATTCTCCCCAGAGAGTGCGGTAGGTAGGTACCCCAAAATGAAATCATCATTTTTTTGAATTAGGTACCCATCCATTAAATATATTGTATACGGAGATGCACTTTGGTCAACTGGTTTAAGGACGCCGCCGCCGCCACCATCGCTGAGTGAGTCTTGGCTGTCGTCGTCTGTGAGAAATATATATTTTTATTATTATTATCATTATTACGACTATTCATCTTTTCTGTTTTTTTATTTGTTGAGGTGGTTTGAAAAAAAAATATTCCTCCGAGCTGGTAATTACATCGCTGTTGTATTATTATTGATATTGTATTTACATGACAAGTGGGCGCATAATATATTATGTACAATGTATATATATATATATATATATATATTATACAGTATGTAACCATGTAGCTATACTTAGGTGGTGATGTACATGTGTATAACGAGATTTATAAATAACCTAATTCAAAAGGGAAAAACTAACATTTTCTTTCAAAATAATATACACATCATAATAGGTATGCGTAGGTACCTACGTGTGGTTAACTGGTTAACGGTCTGTTTTCGGTGATCATGTTGAACTCACACACTAATAAGAGTATACCTATATTACCTACTACTTACCCATCCTACTCTGTATCCTACCTTATATCGTGACTTAATATCCTGTATTAATTATTATATATGTGCGTATTATAAACCATTGCGAAGGCCGCCGTTTGTGGTTTAATAGAGACCTCCGTATACGTCCTATAGAACAGTAGGTATATTATGTATGAGAGTGTATAATAATAATAATATTATCATTATGTAAGTTATATAATATATGGACTTAAAAATTGGAACACGGTGACTGGTTCAAATTCTAATATTATGTATAACACTAAAGGTACCTACAGTGGGTAATTATTATTTATAGGCTTAACGGTAGTTTCCCCTCAAGCGATTTCGATCTTAGTAGGTACCTAATTGATGAATGCTGGTCACTGGTTAGATGTAACTTACAGTAGAACACTATAATATTATAATATTATTATGTCTATATTATTCATATTGTCTCTATTATACATAATATTATGGAATATATTATAATATTATGTGGGTAATATTATACATGACAAACATGCTCACGGCTCACCCACATTATTTCCTTTACTAATAAATTTATTAGAATACTCATTTTTGAGATATGTAAGTATGTACTGTGGACGACCACATTTTAAAGCCCTTAGATTTTTTCATACCATAATATAAGAAATGTTCTGGGGCGATACAATATTCATTTTTTCAAATGAGAATCACCCTTTTCTTCTGTAATGTGATAATCAAATTATTTTTTTGAAAATGTCGATGTACCTGTCTACATAAAAATTCGAACGTCGACAGTTTTTTAGTTTCCTAAATAGACACATTCATATGAAATGTAGGTATCTATCATACTATTCATACTAAGGGTAAAAGTGTTTAAAAATGGTTTTACAAAATATAAAAAAGATACCATAATATTAAATATAATATTATATTAGTATATAATATTTATCCAAATCTAGTATTAGTATTTGCCTAGGTACTAGTATACTGTATAACTGTTTAGAAAACATTTGTATATATTAACTACATATAACAATATAATATATTTATATATGGGTAAGTTCCGATGTAAATTATAAAATATTATTGTACCTATATATTTTAGATTCTGAGCGGATCGAGGAAGCTATAGTGGTTTTACAATGGTGTTTTTATATTTTATTTTTTTATCCCGTATACAAAATTTCTACCAGAAGGAGTGCTTTAATTTCAACATATAGTACCTTATCTTTTAGAAAATTGGATCAAGATGGTACTTTAGACAGGTAATTTTTCGGTTTTCTCAATAGTTATTTAATGCTACGGGAAAAAACTACCGATAAATTACGAAAAACCGCTGAAAATTGGTTTTTATTTCTAACGTTTTGTATATCACCATAGTAACGAATAAAATATTATATAATATTGTAATATTAATTCAACTTACAGGCTATAATAAATAATAACAATATAAAAACTCCAGATTGACAAACCGTCTCCGATCAGAATCGTTTTTCTTATACAATGATATTGTATCATTGAATCCAAGTTTAGTACAATCCATTAAACATTGATCCACTCGTAACCTACTGTACAGCAGAGTGACATCCACTTACCCGATTTCTGTTAAGGGGGCTGGAGCGTAATCCATTCTAAGGAGTAAAAACTAGGCATTTTATATTTTTATTTCATGTGTTGAAAGTAAATGAACGTCAGTGTGTGTAATTCGTAGTATACTGATCACGTTGTATAGGGGAATCATAATAAGTCTGTCATTTTATCTACGAGCATGCACATGTCACCAAATACTACTCTATACAATTAGGAACATTTTTTTCAAAAAATACTGGGAGTGACTTCAATCACTAAGTTCGTAGGATGTTCCGATTTAAATTTTGAAAGCAGATTTGAATTCTCCTCTAAATTTACCATGCTTTAACAGTTTATATTCTATAACAATGAATTACAATTTGGATTATGAATATGATTATTTTTACTCTTTTTGTTTGTCAATGTCAAAGTAAAAAAAAAAATAATAATCAGAAAAATGAAATTGTCAAAGCATAGATAATTTAGCGATGAATTCAAATCTGCTTTCAAAATTAATATCAGAACATTATATTGGGCGTAGTGAGTGGAGTCTTGAGCTATGTTTTCGACTGACAATTAATCAAGATCCAGCCCCTTAATACAAATATACAATAATATTATTATTATATGAATATGAGATGGCCATGCACCATGATATTAATGATCACCCTACGAAAATATATCACCATATTATATGGACGGACATATATGTGTGATACA